TTTATAGTGTGATAATTTGTTGTAACAAAGAAACATGATACAGAATTGGCAAGGACAGGCTGAAAAATTCATCGGCTGATATCTTGCATGCATTTATTTAAACACTTTTTATTAGTAACTGCACTGTTTCTTTCCAGGTTAACTGATATCTGGCTGTTCAAAGAAGACTTCATATATAAGTAGTAGATGCTTCTCTTGAAATTTATTTTAAGACATTACATTAGATATTTAAGCATGCTTGTTTGAAACATGTGATTGATGTACTTTGGCCTTTTTTGAAACTGTACAGTTTTCATTTAAAGCAATTGCTATTATTTTTAGAGAGACCAATAATGACTAATTTAAATCCCTTGGAGAAGGCAAAACATGAAAGGATTATCCACCCATTAAAGATTAAGGAATTTAGCATCCAGTATAAAATATCAAATGACAAAGACTTGACTTAGATATGAAAGCAAGCGGCAGCAAAGCATTTATTACACAATTTTGAGAGAACAGGAGCCAGTTCTTAAGGATTATTACAGAGATTCCATCAGGTCCACTTACTTTGTGGGGATACAGATTAGAAATGATAACAGGAAACAGAGAAGAAATTATATATATATCATGCAACAGAGACTCAATTCTAAGTGGAAAGTTGGCAAGGATTCTCAAGCTGAGTCAAGAATAGTAGAGTTTAGAGAGAATATACAGGCTAAACATTCAGCTTAATCAGCAAAAGATGTTATTACCTCATATTGGTTGAAGAGAGGAGGAGGAATAGAATGCCTGGGGACTTACTCTTATTTAATACAGTATTACAGAGCTGCCAGTAATCAATGCAGCATAGTGCTTCATTCTCTAAACAAAGACTTAGCTCCTTAAAGAACATGTTTACATTTATTATGTGAAGCCATAAATAGTTGTCTGTTGTGATCAGAACTGTCATGCTGGTATAGCCAAAAATAGGGATTCCTAGGGCCTATAGAGAAGTACAAGTTGGTATGAACTATGGAGAAGATGGAGATATTCCCAAGAAGGAATAAAAGCATCAATGCCCTCTGAGCCAAGAAACCTCACTAACAATCTGAGCCAAGAAACCTCACTAACAATCTGAGCCAAGAAACCTCACTAACAATTCTCACAAGGAAGGTTAAAAATACCAATGCAAGGGACATCTCAAATAAAGTCAAGGAGTGAATCCCATTCAACATGCTGGTAACAGAAAGAGGTCTTATGAATAGGAGGTTCCTGTCTAAAAGATGACTGAAATGAAATATTAAATATTACAGAGTTACTTAGTTACCAAAAGGACAATGTTGTGAAGCTTAGTAAGAGCTAGAAGAGGAGGAGAGGAACAAGTCAATGTTGCTTGATTTATTAGAGAAATGAGTAGGAAAATACGTGATTTGTGTAAGAGACTATATATATATATATATATATATATATCACTTTTGTTAGAAAAGTTTCAAAAAATATCAGCCTCAGGGAACCATCTCCACAGGCATTACCTCCCCTTCAGAAGGTGGCTGGGTTTATTGTCTGGTGTCTGAAGCATCCCCACGAGGGGAAGTACTGAGTGGATATGACCAATTTTTTCCGGGTATTTCTGTTAAAACCATTTTAAACTCTGACATTGTGTCATATTCAGTTTGACATGAGCACATTGAAAAATACATGCATGTATACATATATATATATATATATATATATATATATATATATATATATATATATATATATTAGAGAGAGAAATTGATTACCTTTTTTGATCCAAACACCATGACCTATTGTCTCCAGAAATTTTCCTCAACAAACTGATACATATTATCAGAATTTGGTAGTGAAACTCTGCGAATATTTTCAAATTCCATGATGGGAATGTAACTGAAAACAAAATGGTAGAAAAATGTTAAAAGATATTTACTAATAATAATTTTTTTTTTTATATGAAGCAGGAATCATATAAGAAAAGTGATGTCTTCTAAAAAATAAATTCCATGAGATTATGCATACGATGTGTTGAAATTCTTAGCTCAACTCACAAAAATCACTATTTTGATATTGGTCATAAAATACTGATTTTCAAAAGTGGTTCTGATCAAGACCATTTCAACATTCCTTTGTAATAGGCTTATTCTCTTAATAAAAAATAATAAATTCCTGACCACTGACAATCCCTTGCTTCCCTGCTTTCAATACATTCCAATAGTAAATTCATTAGCAATGAATTTACATTATATGTATAGTAGCCCTATACTATCAGTAATGCTTACATTCATTTGTGACCATTGACAATCACTTAATTCCTCATTTTCAATGCATTCCTGTAGTAAAATCATTAATAATGCATTTACATTATACATATATTAATAGGTATCACAACTTAAAATGCAATACCTTAGCTTTATAAGGAATTTTTAAAAATGAAAAAACCTTTCTTGAAGATCTTATTTTAGTTTTAATTTCAAGATATTAAATTTAATATTTCCAATAAGCAAAATACTTTGCTGTATTACAAAACACAATTTAAATTGACTAGAAGAGTTTTTTCTTTTTTTTAAATCTCTGATTAGTGCCCTTTTTTAGTCGTCTTTCCTCACAGTGTAATTCTCTTTATTCAAAATCTTTCAAAAATAAAACATACTTTTCTGAGAATTTTTTGAGAAATATTTTTCTGAGAAATATTAGCTGATTCAAAGTTTAATTAATCTGATTTTAAACTAATATTAGTTACTTTAATTTTAAAATAACTCAGAAAAGCATTTTTTAACACAGTGGTATCTGTTTATATGTTTGAGAGACTGATGCTTATCTAATGTTGTTCTACGTAAACTTTAGCTGTAAAAAATAGTTGAATGTAACATGAGCGGTTTTTATATATAATTTTTGAGTATTCAAGTAATCTTAAAAATTTAAGAAAATCTTCTCTGTAATCTAATGTTTTATTGAATTTTAGATAGTTTCTAATTTTAAATTTACTATAGTTATTGCTCTTATTTTCTGATAATGTCATGTATGTGCATCCATATCTCCAAAAATGGTAGCATTATACACACAAAAAAAATTCAAAGCTATTTTAAAAATATTAGTGTTTGATTAGTTATATTATATCTTACCATTTATGACTGGTAGATATAATTTTTACTTAATATCATCTAAAAGACTGAAATTAATACAGAATTTCAAAAAAGTTCAAGCTTTAAAAATTTCATCGAATAAAAATTTTCAAATAATGAAAACAATTCTTATAAAAGTTCATTTAAAGCAATAGTGTCCTTAATATAGCTTATTTATAAAAGCTTTTATTTGCTTTTTCAAATTAAATAATGTCATAGTTTTATTTCATTTTTTATTTTACAATTCAGAACAGATTTTCAGTAAATGTTTCTTCTGTTTGACAAAAACAAATTGATGGGTTAAATACTCCAAGGTGACCTGCTTTTATATAATATAAATATGAAGATACTGGAATTTTAATTTCTTGAAAATTCATAAAATTAAGTGGGAGTAATGGATGTAAAGGAAAATATTTTTACCAAGATTTTTCATAATATTTAAAAAATAATTTAATTTATTTGTGAATAAGTCCTGAAAATTTCATTAAAATCCAACAATTATTTGAACTTTGCCAGAATTTCCAAAACAATGTTTTTTACTGCAAAAAAGATGCTAAATTACACATACTAATCTTTGGCTCACCCAATGGCCCAAGAAAAACAAGATTTTTATTCAAAATTTTGAACATATTAGAAAGGATTAAACAATTTAATAAAATCATCAAGAAATACTTTCTTCTTAATAATAACATTTTGGCAATAAAACTTAGTTTTTATCAAATTTGGGGCCTTTTTAATCATGCTCTTTTTTATGAAATTTTAAGAGATACCTATGTAATAACCTTATTCTATCATTCATTTCTAATCACTGACAATCCCTTTTTTCGCGATTCACAATGCATTCCTGTAATAAAATAATTAGTAATGCATCTTCTATTATATATATATATATATATATATATATATTAGTTTGGCCAGACAGTCAAGACTCATTTAGCAAGTGGAAAGAAAATAACAAAATTTTATGGCGCAACACCAATATTTATTCTTCAAAATAAAGTTCATCATTCTTGATGATCTTCTGCCAGCATCCAAATCTGTCCACTGACTTTGCATAAAAAAAACAGTAAAGAAGCTTCCTTCACTTCATTATGTGTTGAATCGCTGGTCATGGAGGAAGTGTGCCATTGAGTGGAATTGGCCATAGTCACTTGGAGCAGCATTGAGAACTGAATGGTGGATGTGGAAGAATCTCAGTACCCATCAGTTTGAACTTCTCCTTAGTCAACATGGTAATGTGTGGCCTTACATTTTCTTGCTGAAACCAAGTCTGACTTTGGCTGACCAAAGCAGGTTACTTCTTTTTCACTTCATTGTACATATGGTCTAGCCACTGGCAGTTTAATTTTGATGGCACAACTATATGGAACAAGCTCAAAATGCAGTACTCTTTGGAAAATATACCAGACAATGATCAAGATCTGTTGTTTTCTTCCTAAGTGAGTCAGGACTTTTTTGATAACCTAGTAATAACTCTTTTCTTTAAGAAATGCTTGCATTCATTCATGTCAACTTACAATTCCTTTTGTTCATGATTTTCAAATATATATCTGCAATAAAAAGTCCCATTTGGGAGATTAATTAAAACACAAATAAATTAATAAGCAAAGGATTCTTTTACTTCCTGATAAAATGTCTTTTGTCATTTGTAAACTTATACAAAATTCTGAATACATAAAAATATATATTTTCTTGAAATAAATTACAAAATAAGATTACCTGGGAATGTCAGTCTGTTTTTTTTCTTTTTTCTGGGTCAATTTTTTTGAGATAATCAATCAGTGTAGTTTCTGAAGGGTGAACAATGAGATATGCTGCCTCCAATTTGTCTGGATTTTTCTACCATGTATTCTAAGATTGTGCAATAAATGGCTCTCAAAATTCTTGGTGGAAAGTTCATACCACCCATTCCAATGGCTGGAAATGCAATTGTTGGATGCCTGAGTTGATCTACAGCTTTCCGAAGACATTCAGCAACAACCTCTCTTATTTCCTAAAATTTAATAATGAAATTGAATATATTTGTTGGTTGTAATTCTTTTCATTTTCTTTGTTTCATCCTTGTGTCTATATGTTATGCTTTCATTGTATCTTTCAATGTCTAATCTATGAAGCAATGGACAGGATACTATAATATTCAGACCATATTTGGTTTTGTAAAATTCATCATCTCCTATATATAGATATTGGTTACATGATGTTAGGCAGCCTCTCATTGGTTAATAAAACCATGTGGGTTCAGAAAAAGCTGACCACCCCAGAGAGAAGGAACTGGACATACTCCAAGATAACATGGAAGAAATTCTCTCCACCATTGATGGTACCAGTTGCCAAGGGTTTTAAGGGTAAAAGCTACCTAGCCCTAGTTCACTCACCAGATGGGTAAGTCCGCCTAACATATTCTCTATATATAGGAAAGGACATAGTTTAATTATGTTTTAATTGTATTCTATCTAAATAAATATCTTTATTATATTAATAAAGTATTCTTATGTCACTCCCAAAGTAATAAAAGGGCTATCACAATAGCATTATTTTATATTTCAATGGTTATATGGCAGTGATTTTCTGTGACAATTATCATTTTGAATTCTTGAAAATAGACAATATCTTCAATTAATTTTTAATAAAAAAGAAGAAAATCAATGATAGAAATGAGAATGGCACAGGTAGAAATGACAAAGAAAAAGAAAAAGAAATGGTAAAGAAAACCAAGAAAACTAAAATCTGGAAAATAAATAATAAAAAAGAAGTTGATAAAGAATATTTACAAAGCTGTAGGAATCCTTCCATTCGGATTTGTCATGGAATGTCAAAATTTGAAGTGTCAAGATTCAATATTCTAACATAAAATATTGTTGTGGGGCTTCATGTAATTCATCTGTTTAGAATAATCACACAATTTTCATTAAAATAATAAAATCCAGTAGAAAAAGACAACGTAGTTTCAACAAATAAATATTAATTTAATATAACGACAAGAATACAAGCAGTTGGTTATAGATCAGAAAGTAATATCTTTTTGTTTTGGTTAATAAAGTTCTAGAATAGAATATAAATTGTATTTGTGTATATATGTGAGAAACAATGAAATGTTGTTATATGTGTGTTTGTGTGAAAAAGTCAGCACATGTGTGCTTAGTTAATAGTAAAGATGATACAAGAGATAGTTAGAATTTAGTTCTTCCTGTTAACTGTGGTGCCATAGTCTAAAGTGGTCTCTTTGTGGTCTCATCAGCACTGTTGCTTTTTGCATGTAGCTGTGAATGAGGTTCTTAATACCATTAGCAAGATGTGGATCTTGCTGACATTTGTGCATATCCTGTTTGGGGCCAGATTTTGTGGGTTTTATTCACTTTTTCATAAGAATATCAGCTCCAGAATTAAATTATTTATTTCTTCCTAATTGGCCCTAAAAAGCTACATGGTAAGTCTTCTATTACGTCCACATGATATTTTGGAAGTATCTTAATAAATCATAATGACTAGTAAAACAATCTTTCTGATTTGTATTCTATGATTTTATTGGTATGCTTTAAGGTGTGAGCACTTTATTGAGTGTGATTGGTTTATAAATATTATATTTGATATTTTAGGGGACACAACAAAGCAAAAGTGAAAAAAACCCTATATGAACAAGGAAAAAATAAAAAAATGAAAGAAAAGCAAAGAAAAAAAAAAGGGAAAATGAAGGAAGAAAATAAAGATAAATGAGAAAGACCAAAAGAAGAAGAATAAAAAAAAAGTATAAAAAGAAAATGTTTTCTTAATTTCACTTACATGATGAGAAACTCTGTTATTTATACCTTGCAAGCTACAATGATAGACATAATTAAAAGGAAGGCCATATCCATTAGTAACAGCAACTTTACCAGGTTGGATTCCATTGGGATATTTTTCATTGAGTTCTTCTTGTATTTCTTTTCCTCCATATCTCAATATTGTTTTTGATATTTTACCCCCTCTTGAAAGTTTAAGTGATTTGTCAGTTGAGTTAACAATGATATTGACCTGAAAAATAAAGTAAAAAAAAAAATGGGTTAGACATTTTTAAAAAGATTTATTAACAAAATTTAAAAAGATAGTGTTGAAAATGAAAATATAATGTTAAAGGAATGTCTTGTCAAATATTTATATTCTGTACAATTCATTTGTTTTATGTCAGTTAAAGAAAGTCAAAAATGAATAATAATAACACTGCTTCATCAAAGAAATTAACACAACTTAACACTACTACTACTAGGTGTAAAGAAGAAAAATAAGATGAAATAAGATGAAAAAATGAAAATAATAGTCAAAATGCATCAATAATACTAATACTTCATGTAAATAATTCAAATAAAAATTAATAACAATACTAATACTTCATCTAAAGTAATTTGTAAAAAAGCTAGAGAAATAAGATGAAAGAAAGACTAGTCAAACATTAATAATAATAATAATAATAATAATATTAATAATGTTTCATCACAGAAAGTCACACAATTTCAAACTACTACTGGGTGTAAAGAAGCAGGAAATATAAGATGAAAGAAATACTTGTCAAAATAATAATGACAATGCTTCATCTAAGGAAAAAATGCAATAATAATATCAAAAAATTGCAATATGAGCACTGGTAAAATATGTTGCTTAAACATTAGGTTTATAAGTTGCAGAAATTCATACACATATATCCTCAAGGACACATGGCCTAGTGGATAAAGATAACTAGACCTAAAGAGTTGTGAGTTCAACTCCAGGCCAGCAGTGGTGAACCAAAACATGAAGAGTTAAAGTTAAAGGGAAATAACTGAGACATCCGGAAGAGGTATGGCACGTGGAACTAGAACAAACTACTCTAGTGGATGAAATAAAGGGTTCGGTTCAAAATTCCAATCACCTGAAGAAGTCTGGAGTGCACAATGGCTGAAACGTGAATATGGCAATGAAGATGAGGATAACAGTCTGAATAACGTAAATAATCATAATACATCATCTCAGACATATAGACAGACAATGCTTCATCTAATAAATTTACTATTTAACACTACTACTATTACTAGGTGTAAAGAAGTAAAAAAATGAGATACAAGGAAGATTAGTCAAAAATTAATAATAATGAACATCTAAAATATTCAGACACCTTAAAAATATTTGTATCACTTGGTTTAATTTTATTGATAAAATATAGAATTTACAATAATCACAATTCTATATAAGAATGTGAAGTTATAAATTTTTTATGATATTTTGCTTTTATACAATATAGAATAATTGCTAATAATCACAAGATTATTCAAGAATATGATATTATAACCCAATCTTTATTATGGTTTGGTTTTATTTATACCATAGAGAATAATCTACAATAATCACATGACTATTTCAGAATGTGATCTTATAACCCAATCTTTATTATGGTTTGGCTTTATTTATACAGTATAGTGTCATCAAAATAATCACAAGACTATTTAAGAATATGATGTCATAACACTATCATTATTGTGGTTTTATTTTATTTATAGACAAGAGAATAATCTACAATAATCACAAGACTATTTAAGAATGTGATGTTATACACCAGTCTTTATTGTGGTTTGTTTGTTTTTTATACAATTTAGAATATTCTCCAATAGTCTATTTAAGAATGTAAAGTTATAAGCCAGTAATTATTCTTGTTTGTTTTTATTTATACAATAGATAATAATCTACAATAATCACAAAACTCTTTAAGAATGTGAAGTTATAAACGAGTCTTGATTTTTTGGTTTCTATTTATACAATATAGAATAATGTACAATAATCACATGACTATTTAAAAAGGTGTTATTATTATAATCCTGTTTTTATTTTTTTTTATTTTTAATGTATACAATTCAGTATAATCTACAATTAATCACTAGACTGTTGAATGATGTGATATTATAAACCAGTCTTTATTTTTGTTTGGTTTCTATTTATACAATATAGAATAATGTACAATAAGTCATACAGACACATATATTTGTACTGGAAGATCATTCCTATAGCCTCAGAATGTTACATATGAAAAACATATAGAGCAATCTGTTCAGATTCTTAGCCACACAATGAACCTGTGGAAAAATTTGTTGTCCTATACTAATTATGATGATGATGATGATGATGATGATGTTTTTCGAATAGATATTTTTACTTACACCTTGCATATTCTCTAGAAGACATACGATTCTCTTTAGAGGGCCTGTAAGAAAAAAAATTAACAAAAAAATGAAAAGATTTCATGTCTTAATTGAATTTAAAATATTAAAATTTATTTTGTAAACTTTTGTTGCCTGTCACATGAACATTATTTAATGTTTTAAAATGAAAGATTTAACCATGTACTCTAAAATAATGGATTCTATTCATTTCTCTCCAAAGTCTGTTCACTCATGGATAAAAAAATTATTAGCTTTATATATTATTCTGTTGTTTTTTTCAATATATATATATATATATATATATTTATATATATATATATATATAATATCACATGGTAAAAAGAAGTAGGAATAATTCTAAGGAGGATATAAAGCCAAAGAGTGCTCTTCCCCCTAAAAAACCTTATATTGAAAATTTTGACTTTTCCCTCTTATTATTAAAACTATTTTTCTATTTTTCTCTATCCTCTAATTTTTTTTTTTTTTTTTTTTTTTTTTTTTATGCAAATGTATTATCTTTTTATTTGTTCCTTCCCTTTTTTCTTTCCAACTCATTTCATTTAATTATATTTATATTACCATATATTCTTTTGTTCCTGCTCACATTTTTGTCTCATCAGATGTTATCATAACTACAGCCTTTCTTTCTGAAGTTATTCTAAGTACAGTCCGTTGTTCTGAAATAGACAACTTGGTTTGGCTACACTGACTACACAAGACATCACTCCACCACATATGACTCTCTTTATCTATGTTTACTATTTCACTCTCCAAACTAATAATAATAGACTAGCCTAACACTTTTACACCAATCATAATCTTAAATTTAAGTTGATTTTCATAAAAAGTTTTGCACAGTGAGGAATCAGACAGAGATCTGATTTTTGCTAATAATATGATCTCCACCAGAAAACACACCATCCACAAAAGCATCTGTTTGTGAGTAATTCCCATTTCTCTATTTATTTTTTTCTCTGTTGATGCAAGACACAGCATGTCAGAAAATTCCAACTGAAAACCTTTATTTCTGTGCTTCATTTCTGTCATTATATATTATTATATATATATATATATATATATATATATATATATATATATATATATATATATATATATATATATATATTAATTTTTTTGTACTGATTATATTGGTACATCTTTTCATTTGTCCTTGTTTTATCAACTAACCTATCTATTTTACATATATATATTTATATATATATATATATATATATATATATAATGGGCATATATATGACAACTATTTTAAGACATTTTTATGTTTATACATTCTTTTATAGATACAAATATTATATATTTAAGTAAATGCTCTGTTTTTTATAAGAAACAGTATTTATTATATTAATTCCTGAATGTCTAGAAGAATTTTCATAGAAAATATTCGTCCTCTGACAGGATTCAAACCTGTTTCCTCTATTTGAACTCATCATTTGTGCAAATCAAGTCACAGATAATCGTTCGATTAGCAAGGTTGAATTTACTGCCTTTACACTTCAATCTTCCATGAATCTCTAAGCTACATTCATATCTGCTCAAAGTGTATCCAAATGTAAACAAATGACATCACACATTGTGAAATGGACAAAGTCCGACAATTATTTTAAGACATTTTTATGTTTATACATTCTTTTTATAGGTAACATTTTTTTTTAAATTATAAAAGTTATAAAATAAAATGAGTTCAGAAAATAATTATAAAAATTGCACTTACCTTCATCTTCAAAATTTACTTCCTCTGATCCAGAATTAAAAAACCATGAAATTATACCCTGAAATGTAACATTATACTAAATTATTTGGCATAAATCTTTAAATAAATTCAGAGAAACATGATGCTGTAAAAAAATTCTTGGATGAAGCGAGTAAGTAACAAGGAAGTCTTAAAGAAAATGGTGACAGAAAGATCACTTGTACTCAAAATTAGCTGAAATTCCTGATAATGAAGGAAGGAGGGCTTGGAAAACTTAACCCTCATAGGGCATATTGAGGGCAACAGAGATAATAAAGGGAGAAGATCTCATAAGAGCCCCACAAGATAGAAAGTTGTGAAGAGCAATGATCACCTATGTCCTGAAGGGACATGGCACATAGAACAAGAAGAAAAACCATTGTGAGGAAAAATAGATGAGTAATTAAGCTTGTAGTGAAGCTTTATTCAATGAAATTTGACTACTGCCCATAAGTGAAGCTTTACCATTTTTTTTTATAGTTGAGTAATTCAAAGTAAATACAACTATGGCTGCCTTCACTATGGAGAGAAAGCACAAAAGGCTTTAATGCAGAGTAAACAGCCAAAGATTTGAAAGCTCTTCAGCAAATTTCCTGTCATCAGAACTGGTTTTGCAACATGGCAGATCTAGGATATGGTAGAATGGACTAGAAAGGCCTTCAATATATCATCCACCTTGGCTATGATGATAAACTACATCTGTCAGCAAGGCCTCTGATTGGAAAGTTTTGAGGAGCATGGATCCACTTTTAAAAAAAATGTTCCCAGGTCCACCCTGATCTGGGGTATTAGTACCTGTTAGGGTCCTAGCTATGACCAAGTTGTTAACCCCCAAACTTGTTCAAGCACTATGAAAATATAAATATACATTTTTATTGTAAAAATATCAGCAATACATCTTTATAGTAAAATATTAACAGCAATAAAAGAGAGAAAAAAATATTGCCAGTAATACATTTAAAAAAAATATTATTACCAGCAATACATTTTTGTAAAGAAAAGAAAATATTACCAACAATACATTTTTGTAAAAAATTACTAATGCTCCCAAGAAAATTAAATTTCAGCATTAAATGACCCATAAGGATGTTGATATGCTACTAAACAAACAAACAAATTCAATATGTCACCACCACTGACCATCGTATCTGATGGAAAGACAAAAAATTTTAAATAATTCTGTTTCAAAGAAAGATGTTCTCTGTTTTTGTTAACTCCCTTCTCTATTAAACATTAAAATTGATGTTACCATGGGACATCTGCAACCTCTCTCAGGCTGATAACATCAAAACAAAGATTGGACTGGGGTCACTGGGGTGGGCAGTCAGTGTCCTTACTCCAACAATCATTCAGAAGTTTAATTGACAATAGTACTCTGTCGTTATAAGTGTGAATGTTCAAGAACTGAGGTTGAGTCAGTAAGGTGAAACTTATTTGCAATCTTCAGAGCCTCTTGTATTTAAGAGAGTCATCTTATTGCAAGCAACCATGAAGATATCCTGTCAAATAGCTTCAACTTCCTCTCAGTTTATTATAATGACCACTCTAGAGGTATTTCTTAGCTGATAACCCATTCCTTGAGATTGACTTGTGCTCTTGTCTTCTCAGATCTAGTGGATTGGCTCAGTGTCCTTGATGTTACCACAATTGATAAGGCATTTTGTTTCCATTTATGTTTATGCTCACAATGACAGCAAGAAAACGTTTTACTTTTTTTGGTGAATTGATCCGTTTCTGTCAATGTCTGGCTGGGTAGTTTTCACAAGTGATTGGAATGCTTATCCTTAATTTTCATTTAGTTTTAGACCATACCAAGGTTATATTAGATGCTTGAAACATCAATGGGAAAATTTAGAGACTTTATCGGCAGACTCGATCATTTTGCTAAATTCAGAAATGAGAAACTCCTGGAGATGGTATGAACCTGGACTGATTGTGGCATCTCAAATTCAGTGCTGCCATCTTGACAGTATGGATTTTACAAGTTTTTGAATCTATACCTGGTAACCAGATGGAATAAGAGTTAACTTTAATGATTGATGTGAAAAACTTTGATGGCCAATTAGTAATTTGGATTTTACTAGCACACAAGAAGTTCTCTGGGGTCTTTTTTTACTTAAAATGTGCTGTTGGAGACATGAAACACATTCAGTTACAATAATTGCAGCAAAATTATCTGGAACTTTTCTTATTTGCTCCAGGATGTGGTAGGTAGAAGATGTATCTAATCTTTCCTTGAGGAGTCACTGCCTGGGTAGCAAATGTTTTCACTGACAAACACATGCACTCTTACTAGAGCTAAGGATGTAAATATATCTTTCTTTCTTTCTTTCTTTGTGAGCAATATTGTTCTTAATATAAAATTTATATTATAATAAATATATATAAAATTCCGTTACATCTGTCTATATTGCTGAGATCATGTATTATCATTACTTACATTATTCAGATTGTTATCCTCATCTTCATTGCCATATTCACAACATTTTAGTCATTGTACACTCTGGCCTTCTTCAGAGAGTTGAATTAAAGGGAAATAAGTGAGATATCTGGAAGATGCATGGCATGTGGAACTAGAACAATCTACCCTGGTGGATTAAACAAAGAGCTTGGTTTTAAATTTCAATCACCTGAAGAAGTCTGGAGTGTACAATGGCCGAAACAGTGAATATGGCAATGAAGATGAGGATAACAGTCTGAATAATATAAATAATGTAAGTAATTCCTATAGACATTGAAATTTATTTATTTTGAAATAATTATCAGTAAGAATTTTCACCTCCACTTCTTGTTACTAATGGGTGATCAATAATAACCTTATCCTTTCAAACAGCTTGGAATTGATCCCTCACCCTAGATATGGGTGACATCTGTCACCAGACAGTCTCTTTTCATAAAACAAAAAAATTCTCTCATTCAAAAGTATCATGGAGAGAAATTCAAAGTTTAGTAGCTCAGGACATTCAAATGTTCCGTCTCCACTCTGTAACACAGAGACAAATTCCTCAGTGAATTTGAGGGAGAATAATTTTATGCCCGAGTTCAACTCAGTTACATAAAAAAAAATTTTCGATAGTTTTTTTCGAAAACTTGAGTACAATGGTAGTACTTGTTTTGTATTGCCAGTTTGTTTTACGAACAACTGTTTTTTTCTGTGTGTGGGGGTGTGTAGAAATCGTTCTCGTATTGGACAGACTTTGATATTCCGTAGATGTTGAATCGCTAGTTTGTCAATGGCGTTTGGTATTGGAATATATATAGACGATGGGTGTTTAGCTTTTAAATCGCTAATGTATTAATACCAGCTTAATTTCACGTTCAACACTGCTGTGGGAACGCGTGGAGTTCGTGTATTTTTTGAGTACTGTCGCTATTGATATGGTGAGAACGAAATTTTCGAATCTTTTCTGTCGCCACTGTTGTGGGACTGGCAAGGTATTGCGGTTTTTTGACAAGAATGCGTTTCTAGAGTTCTTCGTCGACCCAGATGTGGGATTGGTAAGGATTTAGGTTTCGCCGTGAGTGCGTTTCTCGAATCCTCGTCGCCACTGATGTGGGTGCCAAAGTTGGGACCACAGAAGTAAAACACTGATTAGAAGTAAGAAAGATATATTAACAACAGGTTACAGAGATAGTGTAAGCAGAGCTTACTATAAGTTAGTGTTCAACACTGGTAGTCGTACTAGACTCTCACAGTCTCTCTGTGTCATTCTCTGTCACTCTCTGTAGAGTGCTATGTCGCCTACTTAATATAGGCCTGGAAGAGTCTATTGTGTAGGTAGTTTCCGGTCTCACAATACAGACATATTTTGAATTTCAGCACATTTACATATTTTATCATTTACAAGCATTTTTATAGTAAAATTAACTAAATACGTATCGTAAAACTCATTAGATAATAGCTTCCAGCAGTCTCCAGCTCATTCCTGCACCTACCAGCAGTCTCCGGCTCACTCCAGCCGCCTCCAGCTCCGGCTCACTCCTGACGTCCCGCTATCTATTCCAGCACTCGCTGACGCCTGACGATCTAATCCAGTGCCCACTGACATCCAGCGCCCGAATATAACGCAAGTCCTAGCCCTGGTACTAGTAGAAACGCCCCTTGACGTTGTGTCCGATTCAGCCTACAAGATATACTCCCAGGCTCACCAAAAAGTCCACCAGGTTGAAAGCTACGGAAACCACACACAACGCCTCGAAGAGGAGATGACCCAGCTACGCGCAGAGTTGAGAGACCTGAAACTTTCCCTATGCCGGAGGCAGCGAAGCCCAGCACCACGCACACGGAATCGAAGCCGTACCCGCAGCTTAAGTCCAGGACGGAGAAACAGTGCGGACGAATGTTGGTACCACCAAACCTTCGGTGACCGGCCAATATTTCGATGACACCATACCCAACCTCACCACTGCAAGTCCTTTCACTCAGGAACTTCGCCATAAAATGGCCCAACTAAAGTATACACCACCCAGGCAACCATCACCAACTATCCACATTCCACAACAGCTTCAGGACTGCGAGTTCATTTTTGTCCGAAATGAGCCACGACTACTCTCACCAAGCCGCTCCATACTAGAGCATTAGAAGCCGGTTCAAGCGATGATAAACAGCGTCAGTTGGTATGATGTTGGCTTGCTAACCTAACTGTCACGGTTTCAAATCTCGGTAGTGGATGCGCACTGCTGATGAGTCCCAAATATAGGACGAAACGGCCGTCCAGTGCTTTCTGCATTCTGTTGAGGTTTCTGTCAGACTCGATGAATTAATTAAATATGATTATCAAATCCTCCTACTTACTATATATATATATATATATATATATATATATATATATATATATATATATATATATATATATGGTGTGTGTGTGTGTGTGTAAATTATTTTCTGATAGGGTGTATCTGTAAAGGAACAAAATGAATGAAAAGCCAATAGAAGAAATTATATTCTTAGCCGACGCGTAAAGACAATCAGAGAACGAAACGCGTCGGCTAAAAAATATTATTCC